GTAAATATGTAATTTCCTTTAAAAACACCTGTGCAGAAGAAAGTAAGAGTTAACTACAACATATTCTTTAGGAAAAAGATTTGCCATAGACAGAATATTAATTCTGAGATAACAGAGCTAGAGAAAAATAGGAAAAACATCAAGACACTAACAGGGCCAAAGGATTTATTCTCACTAGAGAAGATTCATAAAGTAGATAAAGATGAGCAAATATGCTCAAACTCATTTGTTATCAAATAAATACAAATTAAAGCAAAAGTCATCTATGTTGACACCCAGAGTCGATAGTTTCAATCAACATAACCTTTTTGGAAAGCAACTGGCAACGTGTTTCCAAAGTCATAAATGCATTCATTCTGTCTGAAGCATCAACTCCAGAGGTAGCATCCTGAGGAAGTAAGTTGAAAGGAGAAAGACCCTAAACATGACTGTGCCTTGGCCGTAGTATTTATAGGATTTGGAACCTGGAAAATAACCAAGTGTTTGGCAATAGGAAGAATAGCTGAGTAAAACGAGGTGTGAGGGCCTGACGGTCCCAGTGGGCAAGGGCTCTGGCCTGATGGACGTTGCAGCCCAACTTTCCCTCCAGGGGCTGGGTCCCTGTCACCCTTTGTGTCTTTACTCCTTACCCAAGATATGTTAAGAAGGAGCCATCAGCCAGTGAGGATTTCCACGCTGGGTCTGTCAAGCCGAAGCTTCAGCTTTCTAAACATACTTGCCCAGAACCCAAAGTCAAGCAGAAACACCTTCCCCTCTCTGGTGACTCTCCAGTACACCTCAAAAATGCATGCTGTCTCGCGTCACTCCAACCTGGCGCCTGCCCCACTGATTGCCAAATCTGGACTTGCTAAGTTTACTGGTGCACTTGAGCAGATGCTGTAAAGTCATCCTCCAACAGGGCTGATTGAAAGTATTCTTTAAAAAAAAATTTTTTTTTATTTATTTCTAGCTATGTTAAATGCAGAGCAACAGAGAGAGAGAGAGAGAGAGAGAGAAAGAGATATGAATCTTCCATCTACTGGTTCCCTCCCCAAATGCTTGCAACAGCTGAGGCTGGGCCAGGCTGAAGCCACAAGCCAGGGATTCCATCCTGATGGCGGGGCCACAAGTACTTGAGCAATTATTGCAGCTCTCATTAGCAGAGAGCTGGAATAGCAGCAGAGGCGGGACTCAAACCCCGCACTGCAATGTGGGATGCGTCCCAAGTGGCTATGCCAAATGCCCACTGCCAGTTGGAAGCATTCTTAAAACTCTTCATTACCTTCTAGGATACACACTCTCCCCTCCTCCTCTCTGTCCATGCCTCCGACCCCTTGCTTGGCTCCTTCTCTCCCTGACTCTAAATATTGCACCTGTATAAGGCTCAGTATGGGCTGTTCCTCTCTTCTTACTTTATGCTTTGTCTGTGAACAATCATATCCACTCCCAAAGCCTTTATTTGTCATCTGTATGTTCCTGTCTCCTTTATTTCCGGCTTAGATTGCTCCCGCAGCTCCAAGCCGTGTCTAACTCAACATATCTTCTTGATGATCAACTGAATACAAAGGGACTTGAACACGTTAGTGGGGGTGACAGAGTGGTGTGGTGCTTAAGAGATCACTTGGATGCCTACATTCCATATTAGAATAACTGGGTTCAAATCTCTGCTCCACTCCTAATTCCATCTTCCTACTAGTGTGCGCCCTGGGAGGCAGCAGAAATGGCTCAAGTAGCTGAGTCCGTGCCACCCACATGGAAGACTAGAGTTGAGTTACCAGCCCCTGGCTTCCACTAGGCCCAGCCCTGGCTGTTGGAGGCACTTGGGGAATAAACCAGTGGATGGGAGATCTCTGTCTGTCTGTCCCTGACTACTTCTCTCTGCATTTCAAATAAATATAAATGAATATTATTGTCAAGTTCATGGGAAAATTGTATTAAAAGATAAGTTTATTTTGTTGTAAACATTTTGAAACCCATGCATAGTTTTTTCATAACATGCATTTTTGTAAAAGATTTATTTATTTATTTGAAAGTCAGAGTTACACAGAGAGAGAAGGAGAAGCAGAGAGAGAGAGAGAGGTCTTCCTTCCGCTGGTTCACTCCCCAGTTGGCCACAATGGCCGGAGCTGCACCCATCTGAAGCCAGGAGCCAGGAGCTTCTTCCAGATTTCCCACGCAGGTGCAAGGGCACAAGGACTTGGGCCATCTTCTACTGCTCTCCCAGGCCATAGCAGAGAGCTGAATTGGAAATGGAGCAGCCAGGTCTCAACCCAGCGCCCATATGGGATGCCAACACTGCAGGTGGCAGCTTTACCCGCTACACCACAGTGCCAGCTGCCATAGCATGCATTTTTAAAAGATCTCCCAGACATCTGAAAACTTTTACCCCAAGTCTGCCTCTCCTCTCTGTGTGTCCCATCTCAGCGTGTGGTAGCTATGGTAATTCTATCACGTGTTTGTTCACCCAACTCTTCCACATCCACATCCTGCACTTCCAGTCCTGCCCCTTGTTCCTTTTAGGGGTAACCTGAGCCTGTGGAGTTCTTCCCACGTCCACTGTCCCATCCTAGCCCAGGCCTCCATCCTGTCTTGACCATCTCTTCATACCGTTGGCTCTCCAGTTCTAGGCTACTGGAGTATTCTATACTTCTCCTGGGGTAGAAGCTCTTTCAGCATGAAGACTCTAGATGTTTGGTTTGCTAAAATATCCAATATCTCATGCAATACTTTGCATATTTTAGGAGCTTAATGAACATTTATGAGGATAAATAAATAGAATGATTACAATTACATAAAACCTATGTATGTAAGAACTGGAAGGAAATGGGGAAATTTAGACGAGTTTTTAAAAACTTTCTGATAATTTTGTTGTATTGTTTGGTTAATGAATTCAATTTAAGACGTGGATATGTACAAGATCGTGTATGATATGATTGTGTGCTGTGCTGAGTGGGACAGACACACACTCCGGCCTGAGGAAGTTAGCGTGAGTGAGCGCTCAGCTGTTGGTTCAAGGTCAGCAGGTAGCAGTGGTTTGGGTTCCCAGCCCAAGTCCCCTGGAGTGAACTGGCTATCAGGCCGGGTAAAGTTGACCTGGATGAACTTGCTTTCTTCCAGCATGACTCTATGGCCTGGAAACAGAATGTTTTGAAAATGGAAAGACGAGGGTGACTCCTAGGATGTAGAACAGACTTGGCCAACTTATTAGAGAATCAGGGAGGCCGGAAAGTCCTCGGTGGCAGTGCAGGGAGTCTGGGTGGAGGCCAGAACCTTAACAGAAGGTGAACACCTGCCAGGCTGTTCACAGCCCCTCAGGAGGCTCCCACCTCCTCCACCCCCGCGCCAGGTCCTCGTCATGCACCTGACACAATGGGAATTATTAGTGAAGAATTGTAAGCGTAGAGGCATGTCTTTCTGAATGGGGGGGCCTGACTGCCTTATCCTTTGGGTTAAAAAATTTCTCTAGGGGACATTTCAAGACCTTCAAGTGTTCCTCATAGACACACACATGCACACACACACACACACACTCCTCCAGATTCTGATCATATGCTTGACCACAAGCAAAAACTTGACCAATTTTGCAAGCAGTTTTCATAGGCCGCTTTCTTGAATTACTGTGTAGGAGCATTCACGATAAGAAAGAGGAGGAGCAGGTGTTTGGGCCAGAGGTCAAGATGCCCATTAGGACTCCCATGTGCCACACTGGAGTGCTTGGGTTTGCGTGCTGCCTCTACTTCTCCTTCTGGCTTCCTGCTCACACACACGCTAAGAGACAGTTCAAGTGGTTGGGTCTCTGCTACCCATGTGGGAGACCTGGATTGAGTTCTGGGTGCCTGGCTTCAACCTGGCATCTGGGCAGTAAGCCAGTGGATGGATAATAACCTCTTTCCTCCTCCTCTCTCTCTTTCTGTCCCCCCATCACTCTGCCTTTCAGATAAATAAAAATAAAAGAAATAAGTCAAATAAACAGGCTTTAAAAAGGAATGAAAGAGGTGTATCTTAACAGCCAGGAGTTTGAGGCACTTACTTTGAAATAAACCCTGGATCCAAGAGAAAAAATGAAAATGAAATCATGTGTTTGGACGGGAGTACTTGATATCCTAAAGATATAAATATTTTTAAAATTAATGCACAGATGAGTGTTTAGCACAATTGCAGTTAGACTCACAGTCTCCTCACCCCTTGGAGGAAATGGTTTCCAAGCTCCTATGGGTGAGTCATAGCTGGCAACTATGGAGAACACTGTGAAGATGAGGAGGGAGCGAGTGCTTATCAGATGTGGAGTGCGGTTAGTCACAGTAGTAAGAGCTTGATGACATCGGAATAGATCAAGAGATTATGGGAACAGAGCAGAGTTCAGAAGTAGATTCCAACTACATGGTAATATGATGTCTGGCAGAAATGATACTTTCGTTCAGTAGGAAAAAGAGGGAGGGTTTTTTTGGCTTTGTTTTTGTTTTTAGTAAATGATTATGACAAAGCTGATTAACCATCTGGATAAAAATTAAGTTGGACTCTTATCTCACACTGCATGTAAAAATAAATTCCAGATGGATTAAAGATTTAAGTTTAAAAAGTAAAACAATAAAGACAGTGGAAGAATTTTATATGTGCCTGTGGGAAGTGCTTATAGCCAAGACGAGAAGCCCTGTATTTGATTACATAAAAACATACTGTGCAAGGGTAAAAGATACCACAAACCAAAGTTACAAGACAAATAGTAGATTAGGAGAAAATATGTATCAGGAATGTGACAGATAAGGATTAATATCGGCACTATGCAGAGAGCCCTTAAAAATTGATAAGCAAAGCACACCCAAAGCAGAAATACGGTCAAAGAACAGAAATATGAGAGTCACAAAAGAACAAAACCAGATGGCCAACACAACAGCTGTTTCTTTCCGTTGGCTGTGCCGTGCAAGTCTTCTTGTGGCAGGTCAGAGGGGAGCTCCCGGGGGCTCCATGGATGGGGCCGATGCAGACACCGTCATCCGTCACCTGTGTCTTCCTCCCTGCAGACTACAGTGACCGTGCTGGGGAGCTCCTCCCCCAGACACTCGCAGTGCGTGGTGAGGAACCTGGATAGTGGCAAGGACCTGTGCCGCGGGAGGAGTCCTGCAAACCGGCCGTGTACCTGCACCATCCCCACCAGGCCGACCTACAGAGGTATGTGGCTCCCGGCCTCCTGCGCCGCCGAGGTCATGGATGCAGGAGAACCTCCTGAGTGGCCCAAGGAAGCAGGCTGAGTCACAGAGCCTTGGGATCCCCTCCTCCTGGGGACGTCCCCACGTTCCTCCTGGTGCCTGCTTGCCTCTGCTCTGCCCCCTGCTTTGAGTCTTTCGGGTCCCTTGAGCCCGGAGAAGGATGGAAAGAGGGAGGGTCTTTGGATAGGAGAGTGCAGTCAGGACAGACCTCACCTAGCTGACAGCATCTAAATGGTCCACACAAACCAGAGATTTGAAAAGCAGGGGATGTCCTGGGTGAGATGAGAAAGTAGAAAAGCCGGGGACCTATCAGCTTACGTCGGTGGCATTGGTTCACTCATACATGAAGTATTACGTAAGCATCATTGTGTACAAGGCACTCTGCCGCATGCTGGGGAGAGTGACACACAGCAAACCTGAGCTCTTCCTTGCTCACTGTGGGTGTAGCCTGTTGGGGTAGAAGTAAGTAGGCAGCTCACTACAGTGCGGGTGTAGATGCAGAGAGCACCTGGTACCCTGGGAAGCCCAAGAAAAAGATACCTGGGGATGGGGGAGGGGCACGGCAGCTGCCGGGAGGAAGTGACGTCCAAGCAAGACTGGTGTAAGAGAGCGGGGCCAGACAGAGAGGAGAGGGACGTGTATTCTTGGCAGAGACCAACGTGCCTGATATCCAGGAAAGCAAAGCTTAGAAAAACTAGGAGAGGCTCTATAGGGGTAACGCAAAGGGAATGGGAGTGATGGAAAATGGATTCCAAAGAAGGCAGCCGGGGCGGGGGGCAATGCAGGGCCTCACGAGCCGTGGAGCCTATCCTGGGAGCTGTAAGGAGGCACGGTGAGGTTGCAGGTTGAGACCTGGCACAACCCGATTTTCTGTGCAGGAGGCACAGCTGTGTGTGGTCTCTCCTGCCGGAACTGCACACTAATCACACTTCAGTAAGAAAACTCGGGCTGCCACAAAGTCAGGCCAACTTCTTGTTTTGTCAAGACCTTTAATTTGAACAGTATCACCTACCATCCCCAGTAATCATGAAAGAAGGGACTAACACATGTTCATAACAGCTCTGCTCCCTGGAAGGAAGCGGATTTGAAAGGTGCTGCTCTGGCTACAGCGTGTGAACCTGCCCCTGTGCAGTTGGTGTGTGGGGAGCATGGCAGCCCACGAGATCCTGGACCCATCTCAGCCTGAGGTCAGGAGCCAGGAACTCCATCCTGGTCTCCCATGTGGGTAGCAGGGGCCCAAGCACTCGAGCCATCTTCTGCTGCCTTCCCAGGCGCGGTGGCAGGTGGCTGGATGCTAGGCGGAGCAGCCGGGACTTGAACTGGCACTCCGATACGGGATGCCAGCATCACACGTGATGGCCTAACCTGCTGTGCCACAATGCCGGGCCCTAGGTAAATATTTTTAGAGAGGATTTTCCTGAAGGTGCAGAATTTCCTTTGAACATGCTGGTTTTCCCATCCTTGCTCGGTGACTTGTTTTATTCCTATGCTTGGCCAATTACAAGCTGAGATAGTGATCCCAGGGAGAGTATGAGATGTAAATGGGCTGTAAAATGGCTTTTTCCCAGTGATTATCCGTGGGAGGCTTGGAACTAGCTTTGGGTTCAGTCTGTTCGGAGCCTGGTGCCGTGCACTTTGACTGCCTGATGGGAACGGCCCATGGGGAAGGAACCACATACCGATCGAAATGTTAGCGAGCAGCTGGCATGCTTGCGTGCTCTATGCCGAGAGGGCAATGTGGGTTATATTTTTAACACTTACTGCTATGCTCGACAAGGACAGGAACCCACCGTAAATGCCTCTTCGCCCCCTCTGCTCCAGATGTTCTGGCTGTCAGCGTGACGTTCTCCTTCGGTTCTTGGAATTTGTCAGAAAGATTCAACTTTACCAACTGCTCATCCTTAAGAGAGTAAGACTGTATTTGAAATGTAAATATTCTCTGGTTGCTTGTAATTTATTTGTTTCATGCCTCAGTTTCCTAAAGAACTCTTTGGTGGAGCGGAACTTTCCAAAATGCCTTGGAGCGTGGCCTTGCGGGAGCCGGAGGAGCCCCTAGGCTCCTGCCCTAACATGTTTGCTGGGGCAGCTTCAGTGGTGGTCCCAGCAGGGAGAAGGGGCAGACTGGAAGGAAGTGCCCCCCCCACTTAGAACTGCCCCACTGCCCTGAGGGAGGGGTGCACCTTGCTCTGAGCCCTAATGCAGAAAGGAGACAGAGACGCGTGTCTCAGATCCCTGATGTTCCATTTGGAAGAGGGATGGAGGTTTCCATGGAAACATCAGCCGCTGTACAACCAGTGGGTCTGTCGTTCCCTCCTCGATACAATGGGCTGGCTCTGTGAGTGTCTTTAGGCCTGGCCTGGGGCCATTGTTATCTATGAGGAAAATAAATTCCATCTCCAGACAGTTGGGAGGCCATTCTAGAATTCATTTTTTCTCATGGAGGCACTTTGAGAGGGGCCGGCTCAGCCCGGGTCCGTGATTTCTAAGAAACGGAGTGCGTTTAGAGAGGAAGAAGATGACACTCAATACAGAAAACCTCAGAGTTCATACAAATAGGAAACAAGAGGGAGATGTAAGTAGAAGTTTACAAGGGGACTTCAGAAGTTCGTGGAAAGTACATGCGGTGAAAAACATAGATTTCAGGCCTTTTTAGTACCAAAATAAACATCTTTTCATTCTGTTTTTCCATGAACGGTTTGAAGTAGCCTCGCATAGCTCAAAGAAAGCTCGAAGACAATGTGTGTGTGTCCCTGAGCTTCAGAGGCTTCCAGGAAGGGAGTGACAGCCCCAGGTGCCACCATAGTGCGCTCATTAAGAACCAGACCCTCGGACCCAGCTCCCCGCCCCGCCCCGCCCCGCCCAACCCAGTGCCCATTCCACAGGGACGGCTTCCTGTTAGAAAATCACACCTGAGGAGTAGGTTAAGCATGCAAATTGCACACCTGCTTCTGGCTCACTCAGGTGCCGAGTAAACGCAGATGAGAATCTGTGGTTTTCCCCCGCGGAGCTGTGATGTCTATGCACCGTCGCAGAATTCCTCAGTATTTCTTGAGGAATATGAGAGTAGTTTAAAAAGTTCATGGAAAGATGGACTTAAAGGATGGGTTTATTTCGGCACGCAAAAAATTTTCAAACCCATGCACAGTTCTTTTTCATAATGTGCATTCTCTGTGAACTTTTCGAAGACCCTTTGCATGCATAGATTTCAAAATTTTTGGTACCAAAATAAACTTATCTTTCTTTCCATTGTGCATGGACTTAGTGAAGTCCCTTTTTTTTTTTTTTTAATTTTTGACAGGCAGAGTGGACAGTGAGAGAGAGACACACAGAGAAAGGTCTTCCTTTGCCGTTGGTTCACCCTCCAATGGCCGCCGCAACCGCGCTGATCCGAAGGCAGGAGCCAGGTGCTTCTCCTGGTCTCCCATGGGGTGCAGGGCCCAAGGACTTAGGCCATCCTCCACTGCACTCCCTGGCCACAGCAGAGAGCTGGCCTGGAGGAGGGGCAACCAGGACAGAATCCGGCGCCCTGACTGGGACTAGAATCCAGTGTGCTGGTGCCGCAAGGCAGAGGATTAGCCTAGTGAGCTGCAGCGCTGGCCAGTGAAGTCCCTTTGATTATAAAACATGAGCTGGGTCCCCTCACCCTGCCCTAGTCCTCCTGACTGTCCCCACAGAGACTTCCTGTGGTCTTCCCTTGCAATGTTTCCAGCCCAGCCCAGGTTGCCCTTGTTACCATTTCTTTTCTTTTCTTTTTTTTTTTTTTTATTTTTGACAGGCAGAGTGGACAGTGAGAGAGAGAGACAGAGAGAGAAAGGTCTTCCTTTGCCGTTGGTTCACCCTCCAATGGCCGCCGCTGCAGCCGGCGCACCGCGCTGATCCGATGGCAGGAGCCAGGATCCAGGTGCTTTTCCTGGTCTCCCATGGGGTGCAGGGCCCAAGCACCTGGGCCATCCTCCACTGCACTCCCTGGCCATAGCAGAGAGCTGGCCTGGAAGAGGGGCAAGCGGGACAGAATCCGGCACCCCAACCAGGACTAGAACCCGGTGTGCCGGCGCCGCAAGGTGGAGGATTAGCCTATTGAACCACGGCGCCGGCTCCATTTCTTTTCTTTTAATTTTTTTTATATATTTATGTAACTTAGAGGCAGAGAGAAAGTGACAGAGAGATCTCCCATCTGCTGATTCCCTCTGCAAATGCCTACAACCGGTGGGGTTGACCCAGGCCAAAGGCAGGGCCTGGGAACTCCATCCAGGCCTCCTACATGGGTGGCAGGAACCCAAGTCCTTGAGCCATCCCTGCCACTTCCTTGGGTACACATTAGCAGGAAGATGTTATTGGAAGTGGAGCCGGGACTTGAACCCCAGGCACTCTGATGCACGTTGTGGGTGTCCCAAGCAATATGACACCGCCCCATCATTCCTTCTTTAACTTAGATTATTCTAATGTGTGTTTTCAAGTCCTCCACAGTTAGCCATGCAAAGTAGATTATTTGAACTCTTCCTTAATTTGAATATAAAGCAAACAGGAGCACTGCAGTCCCTCTGTTTGCCAGGTAGCGCTTTTTGTCTCCTATCTTGCAGGCAGTGGGCAGTGTGACTGCTGTGGGATTGAGGGCTTGCTGACATGGGGGTGGAAGCAGGGAGAGAGGGATCAGTCTTCAGAGAGACTCACCTGAGGCCAGACAAATAGCAGAACCCATTCAGAACCCGATTCAGTGGGTTTCTGTTATCTGGGACCAGCAGGTGACCCACGTTTCCATGGCAACACCCCTGCAGGTGTGAGGCCAGTCATCAACCCTGAGGGCGGCGTCCCAGCGCAGGGCACAAAGTCGGTGCTCTCTGCCCAGTCTCAAAGCACTGCCCTTGCTCCCCATGGTTCGTCCCGCCCATCCGGGGATTGTTTTTATCATCCTTTTAATGCTTGCACGCCGAATCACAGAGGGAGATTCTAGAACAGGAACGCTTTCCTAAAAATATGGGAAATTAAGTTGGTTTTCTGTGTTGCCAGATGTCCAGTGTGCGTTGGAACCGGCTGCACGTGGTGTAAGAGTGGGCGAAAGTGCATCCACCCCTTCACAGCCTGTGACCCTTCTGACTATGAGAGAAACCAGGTACAGTGAGCTTTTTGGTATTACAGGGTCTAGCCAGAAATAAACATCTGTGCCTCCCCCGCCCCACCTCTGTCTTCCGTGTGTGTTTTGCACCCTGAGTTTCCCACCTGCTCGGAGGTTGAAGACACGGTCTGCGTTTCAGGAGCTCTGTCCGGCTGCTGTTGAGACGTCACCCACCACGCCAGGAGGAGGAAGACTCGGGGAGGGCAGAAATAGCAGCACCAACCCAGGCTTTCAGGTCAGCCCCGCTCTCACGGCCATCACAAAACAAAAACCCTCTCAGTGGCGGCCACAGTTCCTCCTCCTTTGGGTCCCTTTAAGAAAAACTGCCAATTTCGCTCTCTTCCCAAATTCCCTTTTTCGCCTGTGGTTTTTAACCAAGTTGTACCTAATTGACTCAATACATCAACTGCACGGTCACATAAAAGAAATTAAAAACTCTGTAATGATGAAAAATGATGGTGTCTCGGGAGGAGTGACATTGTAAAGGTGACTTTGTGGCTCACTCTGGGAAAGTTTAGAGGGAAGTCCAGTGGCGGGTTGCGGGGGTGGGGGTGGGGGGTTTCAATTCCAGCCACATATGGGGGACTGCAGAAAGCTTATGGGAAAATGGAATTGAAAGATCAATTTATTTCAGTGCAAAACTTCTGAAATCTCTGAGTAGCTTTTTCATGATAGACATCGTCCACGAATTGTTGGAAGACCATGTGCATGAGTGCAGAGCTTGATAGCGTGGCCACGTGTTTGGGGGGTTTTGTGTATGGCCGAAGTCCATGCAAACTAGCTTCAATTAGGTTATTTTTCTTAGTTTCCTATAGGTAATCTAACATAGTCATTAACTATGCTAAAGCACAGAGTTGTTCTAAATATGTACAAGGGTTCTGCACAAAAAAAAAATCTAGAAAATGCATGCTATGAGAAAACAAGGTATAGGTTTTGAATTTTTTGCACTGAAATAAACTTAATTCTTCTTTTTTTTTTTTTTTAAAGATTTATTTATTTAGTTTCAAGTCAGAGTTACATAGAGAGAGGAGGCAGAGAAATAGAGAGGTCTTCCAAGCGCTGGTTCACTCCCCAACTGGCTGCAATGGCCAGAGCTGCGCCGATCCGAAGCCAGGAGCCAGGAGCTTTCTTCCGGCTCTCCCCATGTGGGTGCAGGGGCCCAAGGACTTGGGCCATCTTCTACTGCTTTCTCAGGCCATAGCAGGGAGCAGGATCGAAAGTGGAGCAGCCGGGACTTGAACCAGCACCTATATGGGATGCCTGCATTGCAGGTGGCGGCTTTACCTGCTACGCCACAGCCAGCCCCTAAACTTAACTCTTAATGCCGTGAACATTTATGGTATGGGCAGAACCTAAGTGGCTCTGCTTAGTGCACAGCCAAGCACTTGACTTCACTCAGTGGATAGAAGTACACTGAGCATCTAAATGGGGTGAAAAACAAACAAAAATGGGCCAAGATCCTGCTCTCATTAACCTAGAAGTCTAGTAGGAGCAGACAAATTAAAAGCAGCCGCATTAAAAAAAAAAAAAAAGCCCAGTTTGCTATTCATGACTAATCTGTGGCTTTGACTTATCCATTTGCTGCTATTTAAGGTCAAGTGCCAATATAAATAAGTAGCAGATTTTTTTTAATCATTACTGAAAAGTTGACTGTAACTTTAGGTGAATTAAGTAACTGGCAGAGAGAATGTGAATCAAAATGGATTATGAACTTAATTAAAGGCATTAGAAAAGCTTGGTGTGCCAATATCTTGAGACTGTAAAGTCTTGGAGATTTTATTAAGCACTGGGCTACTTTTCTACTCCTGCTGGTTGGTGAGACAAGACAAAATGACAGAGACTTGGATCAGGGAAACAGTGGCTTCTTCAGGATTCAACTTTGCTGTCTTTTCAGCTGTTTAAAATGTTGGTAACATACACATGGAGTTTGTCGTCTGCACCATTTTGACGTGTACAGTTTGGTGGTGCTGGGTACGTTCACCACGTGTGCAGCCACTCTCCAGAACTCCTCCATCTCACAACACTGAGATGCTGTACTCGTTACGTTGTAATTGCTCATCCTCCTTTTCCCCAGCTCCTGCCAGCAGCCAATCCAATTCATGTGTCTGTGACTCTCACTCCTCTGGGCACCGTGTTTTTCTTCTGCTGATGGCTCATTGCACTTAGCATCATGTTCTCAAGGTTCTTCTATATGGTAGCCTGGGTCAGAATGCCCTGTCTTCATAGGCTCCCAGTGTGTGTGTGTGTGTGTGTGTGTGTGGGTGTGGGTGTGGGTGTGTGTAACGCATTTTGGTTATCCATTTAGTCATCAGTGGACACTTGGGTTTGTTTCCGCATGTTGGCTATTGAGGATAGTGCTGCTGTGAACATGGGAATACAACCATCTCTTTGAGACTCTGCCTTCAATTCTGTTGGGTATATGCCCAGAAGTGGAGTTTCTGGATCATGTGGTAATTCTATTTTTAAGTTTTTTGAGGAACCACTACAGTGTTTTCCATATTGGCTGTGCCATTTCAGCATTCCCTCCAACTGTGCATAAAGCCTCCGGTTTCTCCGCATCCTTGCCAATACTTGCTATTTTCTGGTTGTAATTTTTTTTATTGTAGCATCCTAATAGTTGTGAGGTGGTATCTCATCATAGTTTGGATTTGCATTTCTCTAACCATTAGTGATGTTGAGCATCCTTTCATATGCTAGCTGGCCATTTGTATATCTTCTTTGGAGAAATGCCTTAGCTCATGTTTTAGTGACTTGGTCTTGTTGTTGAGTATCAGGAGTTCTTTATATATTCTGGATATCAGCCACTTATCAGATGTCTCATTTGCAAATATTTTTTCCATTCCATAGGTTTCCTTTTTACTCTGCTGATTGTTTGAGGCACAGAAGTTTTTCATTTCGATGCCTGTGCTTTTGGTGTCTGATCCAAGACATCATTGCCAACTCCAGCGTCGTGAAGCTTTTCCAATGCCTTGTTTTCTTCTAACAGTGCTATAGTTTTAACTCTTCCGTTTAGATCTTTGATCCATTTTGAGTTTATTTTTGTTTATGGCATGAGGAAAGGGCCTATTCCCCATTCCTTGTTTTTTTATTTGAGAGGGAGAGCGGGAGGGAGAGAAAGGGTGGCAGGAAGAGAGAAGGAGCTCCCAGGAACTGATTCACTCCTCAAATGCTTGCAGCAGCTAGGATTGGGCCAGGCTGAAGTCAGGAGCCAGGAACTGAATCCGGGTCTCCCACATGCATGCCAGGGACCCAGTGATTTGAACCATCGCTGCCTTGCAGGGTCTGCATTGACAGGAATCTGGAGTCAGGATCCAGATCCATGGATCAAGCCCAGGTTCTCCGACGTGGGACTGGAGCATCCTTACTGGTGTTGCAGAAGCCAGGCCAAATGCCTGGTGCCCCATTCATTCTTAGCAGTTTTTCCAATACCATTTGTCAAAAAGAGTGTTCTCTTCCCCATTGAATGGTATTGGTTCCCTTGTAGAAAATCATTTGACCGTAGGTAGGTGAGTTTATTTCTGGGTATTCTTTCTGCTCCATTGGTCCATACATCTGTCTTTATGTCAGTACTGCATTCTTTGATTATTGCAGCTTTGTAAATAATTTTGAAATCAGGAATTATTGAGTCTTCCACCTTTGTTCTTTTTCAAGATTGTTTTGGTAAAAGTTAAACTTCTAATTTTGAGATAATTGTAGATTCACATATAGTTGCAAGAAAATAGTATGTATATCTTTTATCTAGTTTCTTCCAATAGTAACATTTTACAAAATCATAGCACAGGATCACACCCGGGATATTAACATTGACTACAATGAAGATACCAAACAGCTCTGTGGTCACAAGGCTCCTGGTGCGGCCTTCCTGTAGCCCCACCTACTTCCTGCATCCCTCTCACTCCCCATCCATGATACCAGGCAACCACTAATCTGTCTCGGCATCTTGTCATTCCAAGAATTTGACACAAATGGAGTCATCCATATATGCCCTTTGAGGGACTGGCTCTTTAAAATAAAATTATTTACTTGAAAGAGGGAGAGAGGGAGAGAGAGAGAGAGAGAGAGAGAGAGAGAGAGAGAATCTTCTGTCTACTGATTCACTCCCCAGATGGCCACAATGGCCAGGGCTGGGCCAGGCCAAAACCAGGAGCCAGGAGCTTCATCCGAATCTCTACAAGGATGACAGGGCCCCAGATACTTGGGCCATTTTCCTTTCTTTTCCCAGGCCATTAGCAGGGAGCTGGTTTGGAGGTGGAGCAGCCAGGACATGAACCAACACCCACATGGGATGCAGGTGTCTCAAGCTGCTGCTTTATCTGCTATGCTACAATGCCAGTCCCTGCAATTGGCTTTTTAAACCCAACATATTCTCTGGAAATTCACTCCAGTTCTTTTATGTATCAATAATTCATTTCTTTTTATTGCTGAAATGGGGTGGAAGCGTTTGAAACTTCTTTTACTTTAAGGGAAACAATAATGAATTCCCTACATCTTGGTTTCCTGTATTATCTTCCTGTGCCTTTTGAACTCTGACTCTGTGTGGTGAAAAGAATTGGGGTCACCAAGAGAGAAAGAGGAGGCTAAAAATAAACAAAAGCCCAGAGCTGTCTTGGGTGCTTTTAGGTGGATAAACCTTCAAAGTTTAGAGAAAGAAGTTTTGTTGGTACTGAAATATTTTCCTAAATGGATGACTCAGCAGCATTGCAGTTTGGGCTGATAGAGGGAGGGACAGGAGGGATTTCTCGTGCTCTGGGAAACACTGCTCTCTCTCACTGTCGTGGTTTCTGTGTTGAGTCCTTTTCCGAAGCACCAACCCCTTTGCAGCTCTTTTCCTAGCTGGGAAGCCACTGAGAGCTTTCCTTTCATGTGTCGCCCCCATTGCGCATGTGCCCAGTGCTTCCTGTGTGCTGGGCACTGGTGAGGGTGCAGGCACCGCCGGGGGCTCCATGATCCGGAGCCCGGGTCGATGCTTCATGCGGGTATTTGTTGTGCATCTATTAGATACTGGTCATGATGAGTTCCAGCGGGTCCATGAAGAGGACACAAATGAATCAGGCGTCTCTCTGGTCATCATTTTCCAGAACTGTATCCATGAATACGCCCGTAGCAACACAAGGTAAAAAAAGATTACCAGAGGCAAAGCACCAGAACGTGTATAACCCCAGAGGACTTTTCTGTGCCCAGAGTTTGATCTTAGTCCACCCTGTTTATTTAAGCCCACTGCCTGACAGTTAAAAA